AGACTTTATGAGATTGGCCATGTCTCCCGCTAGAGAAAGAAAAATATTGCCTTAGGACATCTTATGACTCACATTTTGGAGAAGAAGTATGATCTAATTCATCCAATTCAAGATTTTGAAGAACCTCTCTATTACAATGATGGATCTTTTAGGGAAATCTTCCATAAAGAAACACATGTTATTAGTGACTCAGAGGAGGAACCTGAACCTGCACCTACACCTCCACCTGTACCTACTGGTGAACCAAATTACTAAGATTTGGTTCATATATTTGATGATCTAGAGATTCATTTTGATCAAATCTAAACTCACTTACAACAACATGATGCTCAGTACAATCAAGACATGGGATGGAAGCGTGAGAAGATAGATGGTATAAGTTCCAATATGCTTATGATGAGCAGTTATTTTAATTTATACAATCAGCAACCTCCTCCAGATCAGGGTCCTTCTAAGTGATTAATATAGTTCTTTATGCTTTTCAATGTGATGTGATGTGTTGTTAGCAAGTTATGCTTTTATATTATGTTTTGTGTTTTTTGTTTTATGTGTTTTTAGATTGTGAATATCTTGATATCATTTCTACTAATTGTAATATTCTTCATTATGATATCAATATAAGTTTTACTGTCTTACTTTTAATCTTGTTTTGAAATGTGTGTTAGCCTATATAAATTTTTTTAAATTTTTTGATCTTATAAGTGCTATACTTTGAACTGCAACACAAAATTGAATTCATTAGAAAATCAAAATTTTCTAAATTTAAGTTGTGCTTATAACTTGATGTAATTAAGAATGTCATTCTTATGCCTCTTGTTAGACTAATTTAAATTTTTATATTATTATTGTAATTGTGATATTTTCTTATTTAGTATTATTTCTATTATCATTATAAATATTATTATACTTAAGAGAAATTTGAATTTTTTTATTATTGATTATGGAAAGATCAAGATTACTTTTGAAAAATATATAAATGTACAAAAATTAAAAAGAATACCCAATGATTCACAATTTGAAAACGAGGAACAAAATAAGTCCACAAGTAAAAAGATGTATAAAAATGTGCCATAACTATTGAAAAAGATGCGCAAAGCACCTCATGTGGTACTTATTTTTTTTCTTAATCTTTCAATCTTTTTATTCAAATTAATCTTCTGTATGATTTTTTTTTGGTAATAAAATTTGAAGTATATAAATTTTATATTCATCATTTTTGCAATGATATTTTTTATCTCAATGTCTAAATTGACTCATGTTTCTGATAATTCTTTTTATTATCGATGTTATATCACTTCTTAAATCATATGAATCTTTTTATTTCCCTAATGATTTTTTATTTTATTTATAAAATTTATTTCAATCACTTTCAAGGATCTCTTATAAAAAGATTATCATATGACTTCTCATATTTTTGTTCTTTTTCTTCTTCTCTTTTTATTGTTGTCAAAAAGGCAGAGAAAATATTGTTTGTTCGTATTATTTGTTCTGTATCATATTTTTGTTTCGTATCGTATCTGTTTATATTTTTAAATTTTGTTTCATATTGTATCTATTTGTTTTTTTTAAAAAAATAATTAAAAAAAGATAAGATTGTCGTGCAATGCCTCCTTATTTTCACATGTTTATCAATTCAAGGGGAGTTTAGGAGATTCTTAGAATTTGAAAATTATACAAACAATAATTGTTTTGCCATCATAAAAAAGGAGGAGATTGTTAAGAGAGTTGCTATTTGCATGTTTTACATTCTTGTAACTTGTATAGTTTTGATGATTCCAAATATTATTATTTTAAGTATTATATTCCCCTAACACTTTTTCGAAGAATTGTTTCTTCTCTTGTGTGGACTAACATTTCAGGAAAATTGAACTCCAGACAAAAGAAGACTTTAATTCAAATTCAGCATGAGATAATTGTAAATTGAAGTTTAAATTTTTTTTTGTATTGAGTTTGAGAGAGTATGATTGTAATTGAGTAGCTTAGCACACACACACTTTGGAAGATCTTTAAAAAATTATACTGATCGTATGGGACAAACCAAGTTTGTACGGGACGATCAGGTCAGTTATCCCCTCGAAAGAGTAATGGAACGAACAGGAAGTGAGAAATTTTTTTTTAAGTCCTGACCGTCTAGACGAATTTCCATATTCGTCTCTGGATGATGCTCTCTGGATTCTCACTTTGAAATGTTTGTCCAGACAAAATGTACCATTCATTCCTGGATGAAGCTCTCTGGACACTTGAGTTACACTGATCATCCAAACAATTCATCCCGTTCATACCAGGATGAAGTCCTCTAGACACATGGGTTAAACTAATCGTCGAGATGATTCATCCTGGTCATCTCTAGATGAAGTTCTCTGGACACATGACTTGAACTATTCGTCCAGACGAACATTCATGTTCATCCCAGGATGAAGTTCTCTGTTCCCTGAAAATTTGGGATCGTCATGTAGTTTCGTTAGAACGAACCCTTGATATAACTGTTCGTCCCAGGACGAACATATTTCGTACGGGACGATGATCGGGTACGAAGTTAGTTCATACAAATATACATTGGGTTTGTATGCAACTATTTTTATACTATTCGTATAAGGCGATCTGATGATTTCCAGGACGATCGACTGTGTACAGACTTGAAAGTCATCAATTTTTGGATGATTTTTCGTGTCTTTCCTATATAAAGTCCTCTGAAAACTATCTTGTAATCTTTTTGCCTACTGAGCTTCGTGTTACTAAAGGGAGAGTGAAGGGGAGAGTGTGACAGAGTGTTTGAAGGAGGATTCTTAGTACTGGAGCGTGAAGGATTCACTTGGTACTCAAAGATAATAATCTTCAATCGTGATTTATGATTACCTCACTCTTTTCTCTCATCCTTCCAGATTTCTTGTGAGAAGATCTGTCAAGGAGATCCGGTTCTCTGCCGACACTTGGAGAGTGTGAACAGCCGAAGGGTTCTCTGCCTACACTTGGAGAGTGTGAACAGTCGAAGGGTTCTCTGCCTACACTTAGAGAGTGTGAAAGGATGAAGGGTTCTCTCTTAAAAGGACGGACGATTCTCTGCCAACATTGGGAGAGTGTAAAAGGACGACGATTCTCTGCCAATTCTGAGAGAGTGTAAAAGGACGACGGTTCTCTACTGCATCAGGTAGTGGTGGAAGAGAGTTTTGTAAAGGCTTCTCCACCTTGCTGTGGGTGCAAAAGGAGAGTCACTATTGGCATTAGTGCAATACTCGGAGATTGCCTCCGGGGAGTGGATGTAGGTCGTGTTTGACCGAACCACTATAAATCTTGTGTCTTTTTATTTTCTGCTGCTTTTATTTTTACTTTTTAAATTTGTGGTTGAAAAACCTTTTCTTTAAAAATTCACTAAAGTTATTATCAGTTCAATTTTAAAAAGAGGGATAAATTTTTAATTACCAATTCACCCCCCTTATTGGTTAGCCGCTGGGATATAAGCTTAGGTCTAACAACCTAATTCATATTGAATAAGTTTCAACATGTCCTTCCGTGAGAGCAGTGAAAAATAATTATGACTAATTAAGAGATGATTGTTTTTGGACAATAGTAGTAGTCTGATGATGTATGTTGCTTGGTGATGGTCTAGTAATGTTAGTTTATCTGCATTGGTCTTATAATGGTAATTTGATGGTGGTAGTTATATGATGGAGGTCGTGTTGTGGCACTTCTATGACAATGGTTTTATGGTGGTAGTATAATGATGATGGTGGGGTTGCTAAAGTTCGACAATAGTGCTGGTTGTAATAGCCTGATGATGGTAAATATATATTGGTGGCCTTATAATAGGGAATGTCAGCCAAATAATTGTGTTATAATGTTGGTGGTTTGATGGTGGTGATCCAATGATGGAGGTTAAGTAGTGGCGCTTTGATGGGTGTAATTTTGTTGAAGGTGGTAGTCAAGTGATGGTGACATGGCAACAATGGTTCAATGATTGTGTTCTAACAATAACAATAAGGCAATGATGGTTTAAAGGCAGTGATGATTAGGTTGCATTGGATTGATGAAGATGGTAGATTAGTAGGGACCTAATGATGGTAGTTAGATGATGGCAACCTGATGGAATTGGTTGGATGGTGAATGAGCAATGGTGGTGGTCTAATAGTGGTGATTATGTGATGGTTCGATGATGGCATTTGATCAAGGGTTCAACTATTGTAATAAAGTGGAGGTTTGAAGAATTGCAGCAAGCAGTGGTCTGGTGGAGCTTTGAGATTCTTCAAGCCTTTAAAATTTCTTTAATCTCAAGCTAATGGATCTCCGTAATGGAGGCAATGGAGATTTATTTATAATTTTTTAGCATAACAAACTTATTAAATATAACGAAAATTTGACAGATACTATTTATGACCTTTTGATTTTAAAAGATTCTCTCAGCATTTAAGTGGCTTATTGATATCCGAAATAAGTGATACTAGGGTTTTTGGATTCATTTAGTCAGGATATTTGATTTGGAGATCATTTGGTTTTCCAATTAATCTCTGCAAATTTTTTAACATTGCTTTAGACATGATCATTTTTAAAGAATATACTAATTTATCATAATTCATTATTCTTTATGACACGCCTTTAAATTAAAAGTTATTTATTAGGGCTATAATATTTGTTCAAATTCTAATTTTGAGCGAGTTAATAATCTATTCCTATTATTTTTGTTCTTATGACGAACTATTTTTCTTTAAACCTGTGTGGTGCTTCATTTTGAATCCGATTGAATAACTCTTATTTTTATCAACTATTCACATAATTAATTCACTGTTTGTATTACATTTCTCATTTTAATTATTGGTAAATTTATATATATTTTTTAAAACTTTTTTTTTTTTTTTGCTTGAATAATTTTGATGTATTATGAATTGGGTAAATTAAAAATGGAGGTTTAAATAAGATAATCTCGAAAGCGCCGGACCCAAAATGTTTCCCCCGGCGATATAAAATGAAACAGTTGAGATCGCCGTGGGCCCCCACCTGCGCTGCCATAAGGCCGGTTCTATTCCGTACGGTTAACGCGCGGAGAAGCTGAAATCTCGCGGGCAGAGGCGGGGCAGACGTGCTAAGCAACAAAGATTCTATTAACGGAAACCTTCGGATGGATTAAATCCTAAAATTTCCTTTATTATTATACTCCTTAAGGCTTAAGGCATTTCTTCAATTTTTAGGGTTTTCTAAATCAAATACCCTCGTTGATCTCTCTCGTCGATTCTAGGGTTTCTCTTATTCACCGCCATTTTCGATTGAATTCGTCCCGGGCCTATCTAATTCTGATATAGACGACTTTCCTCATTCTATAATTGAATCCTCGTATCTCTTACGCGGAGGTTCGTCTTTAGATGATGAACCTAAATCTTGATTCTGAGTTTGATTGTTTTTCATATATCACTGTTGGTGCTTTTCTGCATTTCTCATATATATTACTTTTTCTTTTGTGAACATTAGTAATTTCCATGCTTTGTTGATATATCGCCTTCATTTATCTTGAAAGCCCATTGTAGCTCTTTGCCTTTCTCCTGTGCTATTAAAAATATTCTGTTCAACCATGGATCATCCCTTTGCTTTCCCTGGCCCATTCGACTTTTCGATCACCACGGAACAGAGAATCTCAGAAGAAATCGGGAATTGTCCTCAAATTCCACCTTTTTTCCCGAATCTAACATACCACGGCTCCAGTACACCTCAATCAGTATATTTCAAGACCCGTATGTGTGTGAAATTCATGTCTGGTTCCTGTTCCAAAGGTGGCAGCTGCAACTTCGCTCACAGCATTGAAGAACTCCGCAGGCCTGCTGGGTAAATCTTTTGAATTCTAGCGTTACTATTTCCATTGTTACATTGCTTGTATTAATATTGTTTTTGTATTTTTTTTTTCCTTTCGTTTGTTGAATTATGATCAGAAATGTGGATGTGAGAGCCTTGTTTCCTCAGGTAGACGGCAGTAGAAGGAATGAACAAAATCCCATAATTTCTGGTGGTATTGATTGCTATTTATTGATCTTCCTATAATTAACATTAAAGTCATCATTTTCTCTCTTTTTGTAGTTTGATTCTTTGTAGTAGCTAATGTTGTTCTATGTTTGGTTTTGAAGAACTTTTTGATGCAAGGGAGAAGCAAAAGCTGCATAGGAACAAAGTTTGCTGGAAGTTTTATCATGGTGAGCTCTGTCCTTATGGTGACAAGTGCAGTTTTAGTCATGTACAGCCAGGTTCGCTTCAGGATAGCTCCTTACCCAGTCAGAAACCTATGTGTTGGAAGACAAAGATTTGTCATAAGTGGTCGACTTCTGGTAGTTGCTCATATGGTGATCAATGCAGTTATGCTCATGGACATTCAGGTTGTCATGCTTTTTTTTCCCCTTACAATTTTTATATTTCAAAAATGAGGATTAGATGATGTCCGATTACCCTGGTAATTGACGGGAAAAATGAAACCATTCATTCTATTTTAGGCGATTACTATTGCTTTCTTAAAAATCAGAATGACTAAAAATTTTGAATTAATCCCAGCCACGCAAAGTAGGATAAATAATTTTTAGTTGGAGAAGATCCGAATACCATCATATTAGGGATGGTTTGTTACCTTTAAGTATTGATTGTTTAAATAACCAAAGAAGAGGTGTAAAGTTATGATGATATAACTAGGTAAACGAGTTAAATTTAAGAAAGCTCAAATGTTGTTCAACTTGGCTAGTTAAGTAGAATATATTATTTTTCGAGTGTTTGGTTCTTTAACTTATTGAACTAAGCATGAGCTCATTCATGAATAAAAATTTTACTTGAAAGTTATATATAGATTAGAGAAAATACACGTATCTATACATGAGTGTCGAGAATAGTTTTAAAAATGAATATATAGCCGATTAAGTAAATGGTTGATTAATTTTTCCTTTGGGTTAGAGTGATCTCGGTGTAAGATAAAGGCAAAATACTACTACACTATTCTCTATAGGGGGGCTAACGCCTTAATTGGTAAGGTCTATAGGAAATTTTTTGAAGAGACCCAAGGCCTTCATTTAGGGTGCATTTGGGGGAAATTTTTTTTTGCTGTACGTTTTGAAATGTAACCGGGTGTTGGTTTGGGGATAGAGTTTGTGCTCCGATCTTAAAACATTTTGCGTCTTGCGGTTACTTTCCCTGGCGTAAGAACTCCTTCCGCGTTCGACTGCTTTCCGCTATTCAAAGGTAAGAGAAAGTTGTGAATGCCCTTACAATTATCTACCGATTCTCTGTGATTTAAATTTTGTATTGTATTAGTGATTCATTTTAAAAATTTAATGGCTAGACTAATTTTTCCTTTGGGTTGATTTATCTCGGTATAAGATCAAGTCAAAATACTACTAGACTATTTTCTATAGGAGGGCTAATTCCTTAAGTGGTCAAGCCACTAGAAATTTTTTTTATGGGAACCAAGTCCTTCACTTAGGGTGCATTTGGGGGGAATTTTTTCTTGCTGTACATTTTGAAGCGTAACCGGGTCTTGGTTTGGGGATAGAGTTCGTGCTCCATTTTTAAAACATTTTGCGTCTTGCAATTACTTTTCCCAACCTGAGAAATCATGCCACCTTCAATTGCTTCCAGTTGTTCTAAGGTAAGACTGACGTGAATACCCTTAAAATTATCTACCAATTCTCTGTGATTTAAATTTTGTACTGTATCAGTGAATTCATTTTAAAAATTTAAAAGGTAGGCTAATTTTTCCTTTGGGTTAGAGTAATCTCGGTATAAGATCATGTCAAAATACTACTAGACTATTCTTTATAGGAGGGCTAATGCCTTAAGTGGTAAAGCTCATAGGAAAATTTTTAAGAGAACTAAGGCCTTCACTTAGGGTGCTTTGGGGGGGGGGGGTTTGTTTCTGTTGTACGTTATGAAACGTAACTGGATGTTGGTTTTGAGGTAGAGTTCGGTCTCTGCTCTTAAAACATTTTGTATCTCACAATTACTTTTTCTGACCTAAGAACTCCTGCGTTCAACTGTTTCCTTCTATTCTAAGGTAAGACAATAACGTGAACGCACATACAATTATCTACCAAATTTTTGTGATTTAAATTTTGTAATGTATTAGTGAAATCATATTAAAAACTTTATAATATATTCAATATAGTCTTACCTCTGTATTAGATATTTTTTACGGTAAACTTTACCATTCCATTATGTAATAATTCATTCTTGATTTTAAACAATTTTAATTTTGTATTTCTTCACATTGAAATTGTAATTTAGAGAAATTAAAATAAATTGTTTCATGTTTCAAAATTATAAACTTATTTTTTATTTTAATTAAATCTTATAAATTTGTTAGAGTTATATTTTTATTATTACATAAAATAAATTTTTTTGAAGTAATATTAGTATTATAACTTTTTTTCAGATTATTTTAAAGTATAATATGTCATTGTAAAAAAAAAACTTAAAAGTACTTAGATATTTAAATTAAGAGTACTTAGACTTTACTGACTGCTGCAGCCATCTCAAATGATCCCTTAGACAGATAGTCTGTGCTTAATGAGGTTAGTATTCCTATTTGATTCATCTGGGAGAGGTAAAGCCCCTAGGAATTTTTTCTTAAGAGAGTTAAGGCCTTCCATCAAATAATATTCTGTTCTTAAAGAGGTCATCATTCATAATTAATTTTGAACCCGAGTTTCATTAATTAAAAGAAAATATCTAGTAAATTCATTAAAATATGATAGTGAATCACAATAATTATCATTGACTCTACAAACAAATGAAAGATCATTATGGATTTACTGAAAATAATATTTTTATTCGTTTCCATGTTCTTTTTGCAAGTTACTCTCTAAAGATACAGAGATACAAGAGAATCAATAAACTAAATATGTCCAAATATCATAAGCTTGATTCATATGGTGAACTTGCTAACCTTAGGTGCTAGACCTTGTGAACTTCAGGATGTTGAATTCACCCTTTTGTAGGTAAACTTTATCCTTCAAGTAGCTGACTTCAAGTGGTCAAATTAACCTATTAGGTCAACTTCAGGTGACCAAATTAATCTTTTCGGTGGCCAACTTAAGTTGGTTGACCTCAACTAGTTTGTCAAAAGCCTCGTTCGATGTGTCTCAACTATTAAGGCTTGAGCCTTGAGATACCATTGGTCATGTATATCCATCACATGAATTTCGTATCTGGTCACGTATATCCGTCACATGAATTTAAATGTATATTTATGTCACGATTTTAATTAGCTACACATTCTATGTCATATGATTAATTTTTAAAGACGTATTACTTTAATGTGGCCTTTCTTGTAACGCCCAAAACCTTAAATTCAAAATGTCAGAAGGCCATTTTGAATGAGTGGAACAGAGAAAAAAGAGGCAACTTTCTGTATTCAAATTTATTCAACTCTCTATATTCATGCCTAGAATTTCATTTTCTAGATTTTTTTTCTTTATTCCTTAGCATATTTCTCTCTTTATTCGCTCTGATTCCCTAAATTTTTTGAATCTTGTGAGTATAATTCTAATATTATTTATGAATAAATCTGAATTCAATAATTTCAGTAGTTCAGCCAGTCCAACTTGCTGTTGTTAGGTTTTCGAACCAATTTTAATGAACATTTTTAACTTGTTATAGAAGTATTTTTGAGAAAAGATTCAAGCGTTTCAGAATTTTTTATATAACATCTTCAAACTCATGTCTTTTATTTTTTGGAAACAGAATTAAGGAAGCTCGGAGGGGATAATGATGAATTGGTTGAGAAGAATGTTGTTGCAGCTCGTCCCAAATGTGCTATTAACATAACTGATGAAATTTTATCTAAGACAACGGCAGAGCCTAGAGAGTCCAGAGAAGCTGCTGTATCTCAGCCAAAAATTAGAACTCTTACTTTGAAAAAAATTAGTCGCATCTATGGGGATTGGATTGATGATTTTGCCTGATTTATGGCATAAATTCCTCTGTGAGTAACTCATTTTTTGTCTGATCAAACAATGTTAGAATTCAGCAACTCTTCGTGATGTAAATGACATGCATTCTATATCCTTTTTTATAACAACTTTCAGGGTTGCTTTTCAAATTTTTGGTAGATAAGAATTTGATTTCTGTAAAAAAAAAAATGATGAAAATCATTATAGTATACGTGCACATCATTTGTTATTGTACTATGATTGGAAACTAAACTAATGAGCAGTCTGATCTTTTTTTCTCTGTTAAGAATAAGCAATTTTTTCGATTAAAGTTCTTAGTTATAAGCATGCACTTTATGACTAATTAATGATTTTATTTATAAAATAATAATGAAATTTATAACAGAACTTTTATACTAAGTATATTTTGTGAATGATTATATTATCAATGCATCAGGCAGATATCATTTTAAAAAAATAAAAATAAAAATCTTTGCAAAAGTTGATTCGCAAAAATGCCTTATAAAATATGCTATGAAAATGGCCAACATCTAGCAAATTCAATTGAAAATCACTTGACACGATCAAGAGAGAGGTGAGTTGATTATTTTAAAAAATTATTATAAAACAACTCGTATACAGCGGAAGTAGCTTTGCAAAATAATAGTAAAATTGCAAAGCAAAAAGTAATTATAATACTTTTTTTTTTCATTTTTCAAGAGCAATAAAAATGATTTAAAAAACAATTTTAAAAGTATGATTAAAGCAAATATTTTTTGTTTGTGGGGAATATTATAATTTTTTTTGAAATATTTTTATTAAAAACTACTGCAATTCTTTAAAGTAAAAAAATATAAGTATTGAAATATATAAGAAATAAAAAAGTGTAGAAAAGAAAAGACACAAATAAGAATTTTTATAGTAGTTCAATCAATTTAATCTATTTCCGCTCTTTAAGTTCTTGTTTATTGGAAATTCCACTAAACACCTCTTTTTTGCACTCAGCAAGGTTAAGAAGCTCATCTTCATTTCTAGGTGGAGAATGACCTTTACACATCTTCTCACACCTGAAAAGCTTCCATCATTCTGCATCGGGCACGATGTAGATGCCTCCACCCTCCTACTCCTCGGAATGGTGGAGATGCTGCTCCTATAGTCTCTTCTACTAGTTACAAGTCTTTCAACCAAACACTCTCTTTAGAGCTCCTCTCCAAAAGTTCCCAACACAAACACTAGAGGACAAAGGCGTAGAGCCGTAGACTAATGAAACCAACTGTCTGATCACCCTCACACAACCCTTGAACGCCCCAAGGAACTTTTTTTTCAACCTCATCCTCTCTCCCCAAGATGCTTGTATGAGCTTTCACAAAGAAAGAGAACAACCTCCCTTTCTCCAAAGACAGTCTAAAAAAATAACTCTATTGAATATATTGCTTCTCATCCTCTTAGTTCAAAACCTAGTTTTCTTATTTAAGGAAAACCCTAAATTTTAATTTTAATGTTTTGATTGTACAATATGAGTAGGGGTTAATACTATCCTATTAGTTAATTCTCAGAGAATTTCCATAAATAGAGTTATGTTTGAACAAACTATATGATATGGATCATACAAAATGATCAATTCAAGGTGATAGAATTAACTCAAGGATCGTCTTGCCCCAACAATGGTTCTTCCTATAAAAGTTCTAAGCATTTGTACTTTATGATTGTGATCATACAATATAAAATTTAAATATGATTTGATTGCTTAATTTTTTTGTCCAAAATAGGCAAAATATATTAATATTCATACAATATGAAATAGTTTATACAATACGATTAATTCAAATTTTTCTATTTTTAGAAATCTAGAATCACAAGCTGGTGTTCTAAAAATAACTGATCCTCTGGTATCATATAATATGATTAGTTCTCTAATTTCAAATTTTATTAACTTTGATTTAGCACTCGACTTAATTTGTGTCATAACTGATCATACATTACGATCAAAGATTTACCAGATAAATGAAGTGGTCAATTTTGATTCCCACTCATCAATTTGTATTTGATTGTCTAATCAATATACAGCTCAACGTACAACAACTTAAGAAAAGAAAAAATACAGGCAAATTTTACAATTTGATAATTCTCATTTATACAATTCTTGAGCACATCACTATATATATATATATATATTAATTTTGATTAATTTTTTTATTTATAAATACTTGCACAAAATAACAATAAAAATATCATAACAAAAACACATGTAAAGAAGAACATAAAACAACTTAGAATTAGATAACAAGAACAAACTAACACTACTTTACTCCCTTTTGTTATCTCAAAAAAGGACAGACAAACATAAATGAAAGTACCATATAATGTAAAGCAACTATTTGCAAAACAAATCAAAATTTTGATTGTCCCTGATAAGGTGATGACTGAAAATAGTGGTGAACCATAGATAACTGATCGTGAAACTAAACACAATCCTCCTCGTGTTGCTGCTATAATGTATGCCTCTATATAGATCACTCGATTTGGGTGTCTACTTTAATTTCCATTCGAGCAAAAAGATATCTCCAAGCATCTTGGGGGTATTCATAAGAATAAGAAGTGGCTAGGGATGGTGCTCCCCCTTCTTCTACATCTTCCTCTAAATCATGGACAACTCAATTAGGTGCTGCCTATATTTATCACTATAGAAAATATAAAAGTGTGGCCTATGAAGTAGGATGGAATGTAGTCTAGCCGTGTAGGGTAACTTAGGAATTTTTGTTACAGATTTAGGAATCAAATTAAGTTGAATAACGTGTTACATAACAAGTACATTCAACACCATGTTGCTGACTAGGGCATGGTGTTGGTTCATTGGAGAGTTTCTAAGTGTAGTATTTATGGTGGTCCATTTATACTTTAAAGACAGTGCAATGTTGTAAGGTGTTTCATCGATGTTAGAAATGTGAAGGTGTTCGTGTAGATTTATGTCTATGATGGTGACTTAGCATGAAGAGACATAAGATTGCATTGTAGTCTTATAAGCTATGATCATAAGGTTTAAGAAACATTAAAGGAACAACTTGTTGCAATCCAAGAGCCCAAGCATATGTTTTTGATGATAACAAATGCTATTAGATTTCTACTTTATTTCTCATAATATTATTATTGCATATTTGTCTTATGCACACTAACATTTTAGGTACATCATATGTCATGCATCAACAAAGAATTAACATTGAAGACACAGTGGAATATGTTTGATGTTTTTGCAAGAATATGTATTTTAGTTGATTTATTTATATCCTTCTTGAGTTGATTGTCCTGTAAAAGGTGTATGCTAGCTTAGAAACCATACACACACATGGGAAGTGAGAATTTAAATTTCAAAAATTTTAAAGTTTATATGGTACGATCCCGATTGTACTGTAGGATCTGTAGGTTAGAAAATATAATAGGTTAAAATGGCTAAATGAGAAATTAAAATTGTTAAACTAATCGTACTATATGATCTCGATCATACATGATGATCAATTTAAATCGGATCCCCCAACCTCCAATCAGATTTAAGTAAGTATTTGAATTTTTATTTTTGAACTAATTATATAGTACGAACTAGTTCATATTGCATGATGTTTAAAATCTTGCCAAAACTAATCCCTATGTATAGTCAATCAAACTAAGATTAATTAATGATAGGCAATCATACAGTATGATTTTGATTGTATTGAATCATTGATAAAAATTATATTTGATCATCCTAAGGATCATCCTGGATGAACCTCGATAGGATTAAAATATTCATACCATATTATACTAATTGTATTGGATTTTATTTTTTTTTTGGGAAAATTAGGGGGAATCATGCCCAATTTTCATTAAAATAAAGATAAAAAATTAAAGAATTTCAAGAGCTTAAGAAAAGCAAGAAAAACTTAAAACCCTTGAAAAGGAAAAATAAAGAATAAGACCTAACAACCTTGATGTAAAAACATCGAGACAAAATAAAGAATACCATAAACATCCTAACAAAATGTTAAAGCAAAAGGATGTACAAAGGAACATAATCAACAAACAACAAAAGAGATATAATAAATATCTTAGAAGCAGCCTTCCAACCATAGCATCAAGCATCCACCATTGAGAAGAAAGCTAGGAAAAAGATGTAAAAATTCGTGAGGAGTTATTAAACCCTTATGAACAAGCCCAAGTCTAACTAAGAGGGTGTGAATTGGTTATTTAAAAAATTCTTAACAAAAAAAAAAAGGAAACGTTTTAAAAATATTTTTGAATAATTTATGTGGAAGCAATAGTAATTTCACAATAACAAAAATCAAAGATTTCGACCATAAAATAAATCACAGAATAATGCAGAAATTAAATACGGAAAAGTAAATTGAAAGAACACACTAGATTTATAGTAGTTCAGTCAACTTCACCTACGTCCACTCCCCAGAAACCTCCTTTTTAGGTATTGCACTAAAATTAGTCTCTCCTTTTGTCCCCACAACAAGGCGGATAAGCCCTTACAAAATCTTTCCTCCGACCCGGTGAGGTAGAGCACCTTATATCCTTTTTCTCTCTCCTAAAGTAGGCAAAGAACCTAGAAATCTTTTTACTCCCTCCTGGAGTAGGCAGAGAACCTTAAAATCCTTTTTTACCATCACAGTGAAGTTAAAGAACCTTATTTGATGCTTATGAAGATCTCCCCCAAAGCCACCAAGGAACTAAAAAAGCAACTTGAAGAAGATGATGGAAATCTTACTTGGAGCAACCCTTGTGAATCCCTCATAACTCCCCCTCAAAAGGATTTCTCTCTACCCCATGCCCTCTCCCTTCCTTTTCTATGCTCTCTCTCAAATCAACTCCATAGTAAAAGATTATCTCATGGATAATATGAAAGCTTAAATAGAGAACCTCCAAAAGAAGCCCTAATTTTCAATTCTATGCTTATAGTTGTCCAATATGATCTAACATCATTTTGTACAATTAGTTCAAAATAACCCTTTCAGCCAGTATGAATTTTATTGCCATGTACAATTTGTTTAAGAGTAATACACAGATCATCCTAGACGATTAGATTATTGTCCTAGACTATTAGTATAAATATATTGAACTTTGTCTAGTATGATACTCGGTGATGCCTTATCTTTCCATTCATTTCTTTGTCATATAGTACGAAGGAGTAAAT